TTGATTCATTCCTTTATCAAATATTTATTGAATGTTTATTATGTGTAAGGTGTTATGTTAGGTATATTGAAGAATAAGATCGACTGATCTGTCATCTACCTACCTACCTATCACTTATTTCTGGCTCACAGAGTTCACATTATAATGGGAAGGTGTAGAGACAACCACATAATGATAATACATGTCAGTACTTTAAAGTGCCTGCAGGCAAACATTTGCTGTGGTCCTTGTGCAGTTTGACAGACTTAGCTCACCTCTTGTTCATGAGGTATTTGCCTCCATATTATAATTTATCCACAATAAAATCAAGCTGTTATTTCAACTGGTTTTCTTCTTCCAAATGCATAGGTTCTTACGAGTGGAGTTTTCAAGAACAATGTTACGTAACCAAAGCTACCAGACGCCATCCTCGTCATGGCCTATAGCCTTCTAGGAAAATGATTCCCAACATACTGTGAATCAGGGCTCATTGAAACAACAGATTGCTGGGCTTCCTCAGTGTTTCTGATACAGGTCTGGATGGGCCTGACAATTTGTACTGCTGGTATGGGGATCGTGCCATGAGAACCACTGCTTCAGGGTTATCTTTGAATTTTCCCTATTGCCTGCCTTTTGTATCGACATTGACACCAAAGCTTGTCCTTCTCTGTCCTTTGTCTTTCCCTTCTGTTCCCATTCGTTTGACTTTTGTTTTTCCTCTTGAGGGGAGGGGACATAGAGGAGCCTGCTTGGTTCCATGACAGGATGGTTTGTGTTATCTGGTTTTCTCTGATTCTCTTTTAATTATTTTTTTAAGACTTTATTTATTAGACAGAGAGAGAGCAAGCATGCAAGAGAAGGGGGAGGGGCAGAGGGAGAAGCAGACTCCCCATTGAGCAGGGAGCCCTATGCAGGACTCTATCCCAGGACCCTGGGATCATGACCTGAGTTGAAGACAGACGCTTAACCGACTAAGCCACCCACTGTGCCCTGATTCTCTTATTTTCAAATATGTCCTTTACTCTGGGTTTCGTACCTTACAACTTTTATGAAGCTGTAGTAAAGTGAACTTGAGACACTCCTAGGAGAAATGGAGTACCACTGTGGCTTGTTTGGGAGTAGACAGAGTGGTCAGGTGAGGGATTTTCTTTCACTCTTAAAAAAATCATTAAGAAGTGGAAAAAAATGCTGATGTTATGAAGGAAGTTCAGGGGAAACCCATGAAGTATCAAGTGGCTTCAGTGTTTAAATTCCATGGAGGAAGAAAATCTGTCAAGAGCTTATTATTCAGAGATATGAGATACAGCAAAAAAAAATGTCTCTTGGATGGAGGGGGCTCAGGTACTAATGACAATGGTTTTTTTTAGACATTAACTAGTACTCTACATTTTATGAAAAGCTCTTAAATGCACCATACCTTTACACGACTCAAAAGGCAGGACAATTATTATTTCCATCATAAGCACAAAGGGACTGAGGGTTTTAAAACTAAGTGACTTAAGGCCACACAGCCAATTAAAGGGCCCAAAACTGAACCCAAATAATCGAATTCTGGCATAACTGTATTTCACTTATGTACCCACTCCAAGTTTCAGTGTTATCATTATGGAATATGCTTTACAGCTAAGGGCTTTCTGGTTCTCTGCTATGGAGCTTAGCTCCAAAGTCAATACAACAGATGATTTATTTGTTTCAAACACTTCCTTTCAATGAATATGTGGATCATTAACACAGAGCCCCACAGAATTTTATTTGGAGTCCACGTCTCAGAATAGATTCTCTGCAGTTATGGATCGAAGTACTACTGATATGAAAGTTGGAGTAACTGAAATGCAAATCCAGGTAGCATGCATAATAGCCATAATGCAGAGAACCCAGATCTCTTTCCTTTTAGCTCGGTCCAGCTACTCTTTCTTAGCAAGATTCTTTTAGATTAGGTTGTAGCTAAGAATACTGAAGCCATCCCTACTCTTCCAAGTATCCCTAGTACTTTCTAGAATCTTTTTAGACTGACATTTAGATTTTTTGCTCTGGATTTTTATAATTTCCACTGGGCTCTTGGGAAGTTGGGAGGCCCTGTTTTTTTGTTTTGTTTTTTAATATTTTCCTAAGAAATTGGAGAGAACTTTGTTTTGAAATGGAGGCTGCAGTGAGTCCAGGTCCTGAATCACTTCCACATGTTCAGGCTGTCTTGCCTTTTGAAAAATCTAGACCAATTGTGACCAATTGTTCTTTAACTTTGTTAGGTTAGGGACTCCTTCAGCTAGACAAAAGTCTTGATAGACAGATGGCCCTTCCAAACTGCCACTGCCAAATAATTCAGAGTGAATGGGAATAATTTCACTTCTTTTAAATGAGGGGCCCAAGTGATATCTGTGTATTATTAATTGTTCTCAGATGTGGCCGTGTTATATACACCAATACAAAACCTTCATATTTTACTAGAGATCTGAAGGCTACACTTTGAGCATAACTCAGATTTATAAAATGACTTTACTTGTAGCTCTTGCGTCCATGATGTCTAAATGTACAAACCCATTGCTGGTTTTCTCATGGGCAAATCTAGTTATTTGGGTTAACCACAGAATCCTTTAGTGAATCCATTTTATGACTGTATTTGTATAGCAAAAGACAATTTTTGATAGTGCACTGAAAATTTTATGTTGCAAAATTAAAGCTTATTTCAATATGTGATCTAATAGAATATGTGAATTTTATTTCTACTAGGTCTACTGGAAGAGATGCACAAGGGTGGGAGGTGGGGGCGGGGAGGAAGGAGAATAGAAATGTTTATGGATCCAAGACCAGCAAAGTGAACTTCAGCTAATAAGACACTTTCACAGATGATCTCTTTTTCCTCCCTAACCTTTAATTTGATGGTTTATATGACAACTATTCAGAAGAAGAAATGACAGACTATGTAACAGCACTCTGTAAACCATAAAGTGCCACATAACTAGAAATACAACCATTTGATCAATTTACCACGTAATGATGATACCTATACCACATAGAAAATTGCCCTTAATTGATCTCAGGTTATAAGTGCAGTCACATTTACCCTAAATTAACATATTGACTTACTACCTGATTTTCTTCCTAAATTCAGTAGTGAGTTACTATGTTGATGTGGAGTTGTGAAAACTGTCAACCGATTGTGAATCAACCGACTCACACAAAGACACATTCACAGATGGACCTAATGCTTTGACTTGAGTTGACTGCGAAGAAGGCAAAGTTCATCCTAAGTAAACGTTCTGCTTTAGCTGTTCACCTCCATGTCGGGCACCTTGTCTCAGGGTCTGTTATTTTCCATCCCTTCTATTTCTGAACTTAAATTTATGTGCCTTATGTCCTATCTCCTAGATTCCTGCTAGCTGATCTGAGAAACAAGGTTGCTCAGAGGAACCAATTTATTTTCATGTATTTTGATTCTAGTAAGTAAATTTCTCTGGCAACTTATTTGTCACCTAACAGGGGTGTTCTGGAACCAGAGGTATACCAGAAGAGGGACTCATGATAGGAATTTCAAATACGGTGACTATCACTGGGGTAGATATTTTCAGATGCGAGAGAATCTATGTGAAATCGTACCACATATGTAGTCACTTCTATGGCAGAGCACGCGTGAAGTTCTCACTTCTCTCCTGTCCCATTACTGAGCTGGAAAAGGGCACTAGCTGGGCAGTCAGGAGATCTTAGTTCTAGAATCATGGAATCCAGAGATGAAACACCACCTCACCCAATTACTCACCTAATGACTGAGGCCCCTTTACAACATCCCTATGAAAAACTCATCCATTCTCTCCTTGAACACTCCTAACTATAGAAACTCAGTCCCTTTGGAGGCTGTCTATCCCATCTTGGAGCAGCTAAGACTGTTTACAAACCTTTTCTTTGATTCAGTTGAAAGACTCTCCTTTATAGCTTCCAATCATTGGTTCAGTTCTACCTTTTGAAGCCAAACTGAACAAGCTTAACGTCTCTCTCCTCCCAACCATTTAAATAAAGCTAACAGTGCTAATGTTAGCTACCATTTATAGAGTGCTGATTATGTACCAGGAATTAAGAGTTTCATTTATTAATTCACTTAATCCTGAAAATGACACTCTGAGAAAGATATATTACTGTTATTCCCATTATAGAGACAATGAAACAAGTGTAGAAAGATTAAGTAATTTTCCCAAGCTGACAAAGTTCCACAGTGCCTAAGGCTGATTTTGGACCTAAGCAATGTAGCCTGTAGAGCTCCAGCCTCACTACATTATGCTGCCCCTGAAGCTCAAATACTTGGATGTTATATGATGCCCTGAGTCCTCTTTTTTGCAGGTTGAACAGCCCTCAGACCTTCAACCATGATATGCCATGGCTTTGCATTCCTTCGTCGTCCTAATTATACTCCTCTGGATATGTCCCAGTCTAGTGTCTTTTTAAAAGGTAGTGCCCAGACTAGACTGTAGTCTCTAGATATTGAAAATAGGGAATAAGCAATAGTAAATAGAGTGAGTCTATTACTTCTCCATATCAGGGACCACAAATGCAGCTTAAGCTTGCACTGGCCTTGTTGTGGCCTCTTTAAGCTGAGAGTTCATACAGAACTTGCTACAGACGGAAACTCTCAACCCCGTTCTGCCTCTATGACTTCGGTCTATAAAATTAAGTGCCTGAAGTGAACAATGTCGAAGGACATTTCTAGTTCTAAACACCTAGAATTAAAGAATGTATTACAAAGTCCAATGTGCGTAAGGGATATTGTGCCTGCAAATTCTGTCAGACTTTTCCCCATTTGGCCCTTCTCCACAAGGTTTCTGTGATTTTTGTGTTTTGGTGGCAGATGCTTCATGCCTACAATGGGGATGCTGCTGGGACTTCTAGAAGATGGCTGACAGTGGGGGGTCTCCTTCAAATCTGAAGGATGACTCCAAACCTTCCCCTGCACTTGTTGTCCTGTCCCTCCTTTCCTACAGCCCCCTCACACCCATGGCCTGTTTCTAGGCCTCCAGAGGGGCCTGCGCACTCACCTGTGTGTACGAACATGTGCTTGACGTAGTTCTGTTTGGCGGTGAAAGTCTTGTTGCAGAGAGTGCACTCATAAGGCTTTTTTTCGCCCTGCCCACTGGCTGTGCTGTGGCCTGCAGATGGGGCCAAGGGCTGTGGCGCTGGCAGCTGTGCAGTAAAGGTCGACAGGCCAGGCTGGGACACTGTCACAAACTGGGTCTGCTGGCCTGCCAGGGGCTGTGGCAGGCTGAAGAGGAAAGGCTTGGGGCCACTGCCCGCGGGCTGGGTAGTGAAGAGGGCCGGCAGGTAGGTGTTGCCGGCTGTGCCAATGACCTGTGTGTTGCTGGTCAAGGTCAGAGGCATCCTCAAGTTGCTGGTGAGGGTTTCTGTCTGGCGTAAGTAGAGCTGGGTACTTGGCAATGGCTGCCCGATAGACGTGTTGACAGAAGGCTGCTGCAGGACGCTCTTGTCGGAGCTGTTGCTGACAGTGATGACCGTGTTGTCCATCTCCACCTCGTTGCTTCTTTCCGGGGAGGAGGCACCTGTCTCTAGCTGGTGCGGCTGTGGGCCGCCCTCGGCAGGAGCTTCCGTGGCTTGCTCGGCTTGGGCAGGTTCGGCCTGGCCATCCCGCGCCACCCCGGGCCCGAACTGCTGCTCCACCGAGTCAGGCTCGGTGCCGATGGAGGAACTGACGCCCGAGTCGAAGCTTTCGCCCTTGGGCTCACTCTCAGTGCCCTCCGCCTGGTCGGTGTCTTCCGTGCACTCCTCAGACTCATTGCGCTCCAGGATCTGCACCCTTTGCTGCCCATAGTAGTCGTAATCGTCCTCCATCTCCTGTTTAATGTGGATGTTGCCCACCAGGGTCTGGATGCGCACTGGCCGGGGCTGCTTGCGGCAGTGTGTGGTCTCGGGGGTGGTGGACAGGTAGCGCTCCATTTGCTGCGAGCGCTCGTGGATGCGCGTGATCCAGCTGGGGTCCTCCATGTGGTGGTCACGGGGCAGGCCGAGCGCAGTCTCATGGTGGCTGACCACCGCACCGCTGTAGAAGGAGCGCTCCCCGCTGCCGTTCTGCATGGAGCATGCGTACAGCGCCGAGTAGATCCTGTCCACGCTGTGCTGCGGGTGGCTCTGCAGGTAGCCCGACTCGGTATCGCTGCTCTGGCCCGATGTGCCCGACTCGGGAGTGCCCCGTGGCGTGTCCTGGCCCGAGTCCTGGATCCCCGGGAACACATCGCCCACGTTCTGCGACACAATGCGCGTGCACTCATCGATGACTGTTTTGATCTGCAGGATGCTGGCGGCCGTGAGGATCTGCAGGGCTTCCGACTGCGAGACGCGCAGCACGCCGCTGTACATGAAGTCAATGAGCTTTTGCACCGACTGCACCGACACCACGGACGGGATCTCGATGTCGCTATAGCCCAGCAGCAGCTTGTCCTGGAAGAAGGGGCTGCCGGCTGCCAGCACGCAGCGGTGTGCGCGCAGCATGCTCCCGTGGATGCGCACCGTCACGTCACAGAAGTGGCCACGGTTGCGCTGCTCGTTGAGGGTCTCGAGCACGGAATTGCTGAAGTTGTGAAGGTTGATGCTGTGAATGCGCTCGGTCATCCCCTTGCAACTGATGTCACCTGCGCGGTGGCAAGACAGACACAAGACAGGGTGTGTGGGTCAGAGCTAGCTGGCTGCATTCCTAATACCCAGGTCTCAGGTGGGTCACACTCATGGCTCCTGGAAGCACCCCCACCCCCGACCTTGCAGGCACACGCGGGCTCTGTGGCGAGATGGACATGCTTTGCACAAGGATCGGGCTACGCGCGGATGATGGCCTACGGGAATGAGGCCTTGGATTTGGCTCCAACAATATCCCAGCTATTTTGGGTATTGAATCCCTATTAATGCCCTAGAGCTTCAGCCAGGGTTGCCAGTTGAAGTAGGACAGCCTAATAAATAGATGGGTCATTTGCCTGCTCTTCCTACAACTTCAGCACGTAAGACCTGAGAAACAAATGGAAGATTGGTTCTCATGGAACGCTCTCTTTCTACTTTAGACAGGTCTAAGCGGAGGTCCTTTGGGAAAGCTTACATTTTCCCCAGTTTTTCAAAACTCCTGATTTTATTCATAGCAACAATATTCATAGTTAAAAAAAACAAACTCCTTTCCTATTTATTACTTTATATGTATATTTCTCAATCCACACCATGTTATGGAAAAACCCCTGGAAAATCCAGTGAAGACCAAGATATCCACCAAACACCGACACCATGTTTTCCACTTGAGGGACAGACTCTAGGACACAGCCTGCTAGATAAAGGGGCGCTCACCCACTGCTTTCTGTATCTACACACTCTTCTTGTCACCTCCCACAATCTGTTTGAGGACTTTCTAAATTGGTGATATGTGACATGGGTCGTGTTCTGCATTTCCTGAAAGCTTAATGAGGGAGGAATGTTCAAAAGGTCAGACATGGCAGCACTGACCTGGGAGACTGTGATATACTAGGTGATCATATTTAATGTTCACACTGGGCACTTCTGAGAGTGAAAGGGAGCACTGTTAATAATTAGGTGAGGACAGCAGGAGTAAATGGGGAATGGGCTGTGTGATCACCCTAGGCGATTCCGTATCCTATGCACTTGCTACAGGGAAGTATCAAAGGGCTCCTGGTAGGAAAGCAATAGTCAGCTATGCGGAAGCTCTCCGTAGCCTGACCCATCGTCACCCTTATACCCCGGGCTCTGAAGACAAGGGATAACAGTTACATTTGGATCACAGACTGAGAATTAAAATGGGTGGCTGTAACATGAAGGCTTAGGGCTTTCCTAATTTTCTGCCTCACTTCTCAAGTGACTCTAAAGAATCCCTCTCTCCGAACGGTTCTTCATTTATAGTCCCCATTCTTGCCTTTGCAACTGAACAGTCAGCTTAAGAGAGGCCAAGTAAGTGGGCTTTCACAACCAGGCAGCCCAAACACTGATTGTTGGCCAATGGCTGGGATCCCCGTGTCTTGTGAGGGGTAGCCCCCCAGAGGTAATGACCTGGGCAGATGGGAGGAATGACCACCTCCTCGGGCTCTTTCTCCTCTGTCCTAGGACAGAGGTCCAGTTCAGGAAAGTCTGAGCTCCACGACCTCTGCCTTGCTGCACTCGATCTCCTCATGCTGTCTCAGCTTAGTCGGTGTGAGCACATCCTTTTATATACTCATTCATTTCCTTCGTTCCCATCTTTACATGTTGTTGGCCTCACATACATCCCGTTAACTTAATACATGCCTAGAGGCTCTATGTTCACTTTCAGTTATAGGATTTGCACTGATTTTTACGTAAGAGAGTTCCTTCTTGTTCCGACTTCCATTAGGTCTGTGAAGTGCCGAAAATAATGCACTGGGCTCTAATTTCTATTTTTTTTTTACTGTCGTAAAAACAACACTGTCTTTGCCAGATTAAAGAATCACGGTGAATCCTCTCTGATGGGGCTCATACAAAGTATAGCCCCAGAGGAAGGCCCCAATAACCCAGGAAGATGTTCAGGAATCAGTCAGCAGACCAAATTCTAAGTTCTTGCTGAGTACCCCCATGCACAGAGAGCAGGATAACAACAAGAGCAAACATTCCTTTTTTTTTAACGCTTACTGGGTATTATGAGATTATTTCATTTAATCGTCACAGCAACCCTTACCACGTGGGTAGTATTCTTATTATTTTTAAAAATATTTTATTTATTTATTATTTGACAGAGAAAGAGAGAGAGCACAAGCAGGGGGAGCGGCAGAGGGAGAGGGAGAAGCAGGCTCCCCACTGAGCAGAGAGCCTGATGCGGGACTAGATCCCAGGACTCTGGGATCATGACCTGAGCCCAGGACAGACGCTTAACAACTGAGCCACCCAGGTACCCCAGGTAGGTAGTATTATTATCCCCATTATTCAAATGAGGAAACAGGCCATACAAATGAAGAAACTTGCTCAAGGCCACACAGGCAATAGGTAGCAGAGCTGGCATTTGAACTTAGGCATGTCTGGCTCTAGAGTTTTCACTCTTACCTGCTTCACTGTATTGCATGCATTGCCCTAAATGAGGTCTGGCCCCTGGGTGTCCATAAATCCATGGTAAGGCTGTGTGAAAAAGTCTGTTCAGTATGTTCTCCAGCTGCTTCTAGACCTACCCTTGAATTAGCATGGTGTTCATGTTTCTACGCCTTGGGACATAGTCTCAGTAAATCTAAAAGACATCTTTTTTTTTTTTTTTAAGTTTATAAATGGAACAACGCAAGAGATAAAACAACTTGTCTTGACACTAAAACGTAGAGTTTTCTAGATATAGTTTTACTATCACTAAAGTCTTTTTTATTTAAGTAAAACACTAAGCACTAAAACTGGATAAGTCTGATAAAATAGCCATCTCTGAGGAGGATGAATTTATTAAATGACTTTTTTCCCACAGGTGAAAAAACTCTTTAAACACACATTTGCTCTTAGCACCAGTCACAGCAATATCACTAGATTTGTCACGTATGATGAAGAGTTATCTTGTTTCTGATAATTATGGGAAGAAACCACAACAAATATCCTAATAATTAATACCCATGTAGCATTTCACAGTGTACAAAACTCTTTCACATAAAACAACTTGGTCTTTCCTTAAAACCATCCTATATGTTCTTAGGACACGTCTTATTATTATTATTTGATGTAAGAAAAGGTTGAGGCTATCAAAGTGTTTAAGTGACTTACCCTAAGTTTTACAGAGCTAATAAGAGGCAGGGTTGGGATTAGAACCCACACCCCTGGATGCTTTTTATTTTTTTTTCACTCCATAACATTGGATCGCTGAGGAATGAAACTCAGATTGCCCGAAGCTCTAAGGCCATCCTAATCTTCAGGGCATAGAAGAAAATTTAAAAACACTGGGAGGGATGATGGAGGTTGCTTTAGAGAGGGAAATGATCAACAGCAGCATACTGTATGTCCTCATACTGTACACACTCACGCCCATGCACACACTCATACTGTACACACTTACACCCTCATACTGTGAGTGTCCTCATACTGTACACACTCACACCCATGCACACACTCGCAGTCTCAGGAGAAAAACTCAAAGTGCTTGTTTGACTGAACTGGCCGAGTCTATCTAACCAATCAGGTAACCCTATAGAGATAATCAGAAAAAACTGTGAAATGGTCTGAATTAGGATTCCTGCAGTAATGTCTCCCACGTCACTAAAAACCACAGAGAAAAAACTCAAACTTGCACACGTGTACAACTCGACCCGGCAAGCCTAGCTGGATTTTTATAGACACAATTTTTAAACATCTCCCTGAGTATGCTGGTCCCACATCGCAGTGAGCAACCATGAAAGGCTGAATGGGCTTTGCTGATACGGGTACAGATGCGATGGGGGACCCTGCCTCTCCATTCAGGCACGCCTCGTTCCTCCCGCACACAATGCTGAAGCAATTCTTTCCCAGGCTTTCTTTTATATTTCACACTAATACAGTGGGAAAAAGTTTCTGCCACAGCAAGGCAATGTCCAGGCTTTTGTGAAGCAGGTCCTTTCATCCAATGGGCATTAATGTATAGATTCCAATGGAATAAATCTGAAATACTCTACTGTAGAAGATTTGTTCCCCATTGAAAACAAATCTTGATTAGATGGTTATTCAGGGACTGTATAGGAAGGAATGGTGTGAAAATGCTAACTCCATTCTTTCCTAGATTGGCACTGAATAGGCATTTGGGCTATTCAAAAAAAAAAAAAAAAAAAAAGAAAGAAAGAAAAAAGAAAAAGAAAGAAGAAAAAGAAAACACCAACCACACTCTCAACTCTACAAAACCGTACAACTTTACAAAGATTATGTATATTTGGGGATACCGCATCACCCCAAAAATACCCCCACAGTGGTATGAACATAGAACCGATGGGATAAAATGAAAAGAGTGATAAAAATGATTCTCTGTGTGCTTAAAAATAATAACCAACCTTCTTTCCACTAGAGTAAAAATATAGAGTCAGCCTGAGATGGCATTCACTAGAAACGCGCAAGGAATCCTACCACCGTGAGTGGTCCTGTATGCTGAATGACTGTGTTCTGTGAGCGAGCACAATAAGGACGGGCCTGCAGCAGGGCGAGGACTGAAGGGAAAATCAGCTCCTGGTGAAAGAGGTGATGGAGGGCCCGCTCTGCCTTGTAGGAACCCAGCTCCTGCCTGTCTCTTAAACCGCGGGTGTCCGGGGGGACAGGACTTAGCATGAGAATGAAAAACTGCTTGTGCGCGAGGGAAAATGAACAAGAAAGGAAACAGCAGGCAATACGATCTCCTTTAATTAGGTGTGAAATCCAGTCCTTTCTCAGCCCGGATATATAAAATGAGACCAGTGCAAGGGTGAGGTGCTACAGAGGCAGATGGGAATTTCAAGTCTCTGGGATTCGGGAGGGAACACAAGCTCTCAAATTAAAACCCACATGAATTTCGGTCAAGTCCACATGTCTAAGTCAAATGGCAGGGCCGGAAAGCCCTTGAGCTTTCAATCTGGGCCACCAGGCTCACATGAGGTAAGTGGGGCAGCTCATGAACTAGGGTTGGGGTGGCCAGGCCTCCACAGCCCAGTGTCTCACATCACACTCTTTT